CAAATCATGTTGATAAAAAAACGGCGAAAACGAAAACGTCAATGGGGCTGAGACAAAGTAGGGGGAGTGTGTTGGAGTTGGAAGCATGAAGAAAGCGTTTTGTTACAGGCGTAAATTATACACACAACGAAACTCCCACAGGAAGTTCGATAGCAGCTCAAACAATACCCAGCAGCAGTTGCGATGACTGCAGCAGCAGCAGCAGTGTCGGCAGCGACGGCAGTGGCGGCGGTGCAAGACAAAACATACACAAAAATCATAAAAAAATTGTATATGTATGTGTGAGTGTGTCTGTATGTGCCATGCAAGCGAAAACCGTATATGACCCAATTAAGTGAACCCAAGCGCTTGTGTAATTATGAAAGCTGTGTCTGTGTGTTTGTGCTTGCATACATGTATGTACGGCTGTATGTGTGCGTGTTTGTGTGCATTGGAGCTGGAATTTGCAACCAAGCGAAAAGGTTGCCACTCTTGCCGAAGTTGTTGTTGTTGTCTGCTATTGCTACTGTTGTTGTTAGTGCTGGTCATGCAGATTGCAGTCTGTGGGGAGAGCGCCACAGCCAGAGAGCGATTTGAAGTTTTGGGAGTTGTGCCAGACGCTCTCACTCTTGCACAGACACACTTATACAAGAAATGCATAAAAGCGAATCGTTGACCGCAAGCTGCTCAGCGCTAGCAGCAAAATATATCCAATTGGAACGGAAATCAAATACCAACAACAGGCAACAGGAATAACAAAAACAAACGCAAAGCAAAACATATAACACGGTGGCAGCAACAATAACAAATAATACCAACAGACAACCAAGTGGCCAACAAATGGCGACAATAATATTTTATCTTAGAGCCAAGAGGTCAACAGCATAAAGTGTCGCTGCTATACAAAAGCCGCAATAAAGAGAGGAAGTGGCATAAGCAAAAAGACAATAAAAATAGCAGCAGCAACAACCCTTGGTTTGCCCTTAATTATTTAAAAATGGAGTTTAAAGTACGCACTCACATACATACACACATCTATGTGTATATGCCAGCATTGTAATAATGAGAACCCCACCCAAGTGCCGCTTAAACTTTGCCACCAAACACCTCACACACACATACACACTCGCATAGCATATGAAAAGCACTTGCGTGTCCTGTTGAGTGTGCCAAAACGGAAACGAGTAGAAAGTAAGATAGAGAGAGAGAGAGAAGAAAAAAGGAGCGTAGCATAGCGAGCGAGTTAACGGAACACACCCCAGCACTGCGCTAAAATTGCATTAGCTCTTGAAGAGAAAGAGAGAGAGAGAACGGGAGTCATTGAGAGCGCGTAACGAGAAAAATCGAGAAGAGAGAAACGCCGAAATGCATGCAGAGGCAGACAGCTGTGTGTGCACACAGAAACAATGAAGTATACCAACAAATTTAATGATTTCTCGTGGGCCAGGTGAACAGTTAGGCACATGGCAAGGACATGCATATGGAACGGTCGACAGCAACCAGGAAACACTGCGGAAACACACTGACAAAGCCACACACACACACACACACTGGACACAGGACTCAGGGTGCAGGACAAATGACGAGTGCATTAAGACATTTTTGACAAATACGTAAAGTTCGAGAATGAGTCATGCAATTGGAATCAAGGGATGGGCGCGGCTCGATGTCATTTCACGTCAACCAAATTAATTGAATGCTTACAAATGTTAGTATAAACTATATTGTATATACAGAAATATATATTAAATATTTATAAAAATCAAGCATAGGTATATGTATTCTTATTGAAGCTCAACAAGAATAATATTCAGAGATTTTGTATATCAAAGGCAGACGACATCCCCATATAAATGTTATTAGAGACGTGTTTAATGAAATATATCAAGAATGTATGGATTGAAATATAAAAATATATGTATTATCATTTTAGTTAAGTTAGTTTAGCAAATGGCTGGAGTTTACATTCTTTTCCTTAACAATTCTTTATGAAATTTAGAAAATGTTTAGAAAGTTACATTGAGTTTTTTGACAGTTCTTATTAGAAGATATTCTTATTTAAGAAGCGCACTTAATTGTATTCCCTAATTTAACAATTAAAGCTTGCTGTCAGAAGTGCTTTAGGAAATGCATTATGAATATATCTATTAAAATATAAAAATGTATGTATTCTTATCGGAGTTCGGCACAATGAATGGCAAATAAGTTATTTACGTAGGCACTTCTTATTATAAATTAAAATTATTTTAAAATAGAACTTAGTCGTATTTTTTAACCAAACATAACGATTTATGAGAATGAAATTCATTTCATGTATGAAGCTCCACTTATTTGAAAATATAACTTAAAGATTAAGGATTTCTATTTCCTAAATAAACATAACGTTTAATGAGGCGAATGCTATTTTATATAGTGCTCCAATTAATATTAGATATCTTAATTAAATAATAGTAGATCTCTAGATTTGATGTGCTCTTACCTGACGCGGAGCACCGACATTGAATTCGTTCTCTATGTTGTCCGACAGTAAGAATGATTCGGGCTGCTGCTGCGGCTGCTGCTGCTCCTTCGTTTCCTCAACGAGATGCTTCTCTTCGGTGGAAGAGGAGAGCGGAGATGGGGTAATGTCCACAATGTCGGCCTGTTCAGGCTGGAGCTCAAGTGTTGTGGCTGTCACGGCCGGCTCATCAGCCAGAGGACTGAACGGTGCACTCGTGTCCAGCAAAAGACTCTGGTCGTGATCGGGTGCCTGTTGAGCGAAGGCATCGCTGGAGGTGTGCTCCAGATAGAATGAGGCCTGCATGGGGTCAATCAGCTGATTTTGATGCTGATTTAGCTCCTCAATGGATGAAGATTGCGAAACAAGCTCCTTCTCCTCCACATTGAGCAGCTCCTTTTCCTTGAGCGGCTCATCGCCGAGCGTCTGCTGGGGTAGCGGCTGCACCGAGTTGAGAATGTCCTCAATGGGGGCATTCGAATTGGAGTCACCATAGATAGACTGCTTCATGATATCGTCCTGCAGCTGGGGAGCCACGAAATCTGTTTCTGTTCCGTTCTGTGGCTCTGAGAGCTCCAAATCGGCATCCAAGTCAACGCTAGTTTCGGGTCCATGATCGATGTGCTGCTGCTCTACCTGCTGATAAACCTCACTACCATTCTGCAGCTCCACTTCAGCGGGGAACGTGTCATCCTCCTGCTCCAGTTCATGCGGACGCTTATCGGCCCCAGTGTCGAACTCACATTCATCGGGCACTGCAATGGTGTCCATGTTGCAGTCGCGTACACCCTTGCGTGGGCTTTCCGCGACCAAATCATCTCCAACTACCAGCAGTTGACGTCCCAGGGCCTGAAGTGGCTGCTCACTGGGTGGCGGCGAGACAGGCTGAGAGCCAAAGTGCGGCACAAACTCGACGGCATTAGGATTTAGTTGCGAGTGCGCCTCCAGTTCGAGATCTAAATCGGCCTGATCTTGGCCTGTGGGATGAACATTTTCCTTGTTGTCAAACTGATCTGCGGGAGCATCGTTAGTCAATTGCTCTGGCTCCTGTTGTTGTTCGCTCAGGCTGCTCGTGCCATAGGTGGTTGCTACTGAGCTGGGCTCATCCTCCTCATCCACATCCACATCAATGTCGTCTTCTTGGCGCAATTGCTCTGATTTTGGCAACGGCGTCTCCTTAGGCTGTGCCTCCACTTCGCCCGTGGTCGATGTTGTGGTCGTATTGGAGTTGCTTGAAAAGTCGCCATCATGTTTAATCACCTCGACGTCCTCTTCTTCTTCAACGGCAGCAGCTGCCCTGAAGCCGGCTGCGCTGCCAACGCCATTGCCCAGGCTCAAGTCCATGCCAAGCGACATATACGCGTCGCTGTTGCTGCCGACTGCGCTGCCAATGCCGTTGCCATTGCCGTTGCCAACACCAATACCAATACCATTGCCGACGCCAACGCCAAAAGCGACGTCAACGTCAGCGTCGCTAAACTTTTCGCCGTAGAATTGGTGTTGCTGCTGTTGTTGTTGCTTTTCGCTCTGCTGCACTTCTTTTATGTACTTCCATTCTTCGTCGTCATCGTGCTCATCAGACTTGGGGCCAATGCTGGGCACCAACTCGGCAGCAACGACGTCTGCAGCGTTGCCGGCGCTGCCAGCGTTTTGCAGACTCTCCGCGAGACGATTTTGCAAGAAATCGAAGTGCGCGTTATCCTCGTGTTCCATTCTGATGCAGCAGCTGCTTCTCAATTAGTTTTTCTATATTTTGTATTTTACTTTACTTTATATATATATATTTTGTGTGTGTGTACTTTTGGTTTTTTCGGCTTTTTTTTGTATCTTTCTAAAGATGCCAACAATAAATTCTGATGTGATTCAGTTTGTGCTCTCTCACTTACTCGTGATTCACACGCCGCTTCTTGGCTCTTCTATCTTGCGAATTCTCCTTTTGCTCTCACGTCGCACAGCCGCTTACATACACATACACACACACACAGGCACAAAGAGAGAAACACGCACACACTCAAACGACCAGCCGCCAATCACGAAATGCTTCTTTTTTGCGCAGTCCTGCTTCCCAAATATGCTCAAAAATTAACTGACTTTAAACACGCACGCAAACAGATTAATTTTAATTTTAACAAACAGTTCGATGTCGTGTAAAGTTTAAACAATTGCAATTTAAACTTTTCTGTATTTTCAGTTACTTTTGAAAATCACTTAGCCCACCGATTTTTGCGCACATACGACCTTCCAGCTTTAAAACAGAATTCACAATGTTGTGCGCGATTCAAGAATTCGATATTCCAGAGATGGTAGAAATCTATCGAGCTGGTAGCAGCATGGTGAATATGTATTGTGTTGAGTACACAACGAATATTCGCTTAATATATCGATATCTTACTTGATTAACTTGATGCTTGTAGATGTCTCATACAAATAAAGCACGCCGCCAACTTCACTTTGTTTTGAATCTATCAAAATTAAATATCTCTAGGGCGCCATTTTTGATATCTAGTCAAATATATATTACATAAATTAAGGATAACACTACAATTTATAAAATTATACAGTCACGAAGCAGAACTATGTATGAGATGTAGTTGATACTTTAGCTCTTGATAATTCAACATTGTGGCTCGCAGCCAAGAGTCTTTTACGCAAAACCGTTGAAATGGTTTGCTGTTGCTTAAGTGATTACTATAATACTTATCGTAAATCAATTTAATAATAGCATTTTGTACAGTTATAAAAGGTCGATTCATATCTTTCCACCAATGGCCTAACACTTTGCCCTCGGATGCACAACACACATCGTCACTAATCAAATCGCCGTCGTCCCACCAAGGCGGCACACCCGGCACGATTTGGCATTCCTGTAAGCGTTCTTCCTCTTTCTTCTCAAATTCGAACAACACCTCCATATATTTAACACCAACATTGCAGCCGGATCCAGGAGGCAGACTCAATGCTGCTGCAACATCATCCCATTCGTCCACATCAAGAGCTCCGCCTCGTGCTTGAACCAATGCGTATAATCTTAGGAAATAAATTAGCTGTTAATTAAATACTTATTTATGTATACATGTGTCCTAAAATTTTGACATACTTGAACAGATTAACGCTACGCTCTAATATCTTGCATTCGCCTTTGAGGCCACTACGTTTAATAAAATTCTTTTCTTGTTGCTGTGGCGTCGTCCAAAGCCAAAGCGACGCTTCCACTTCCGGTCCTTCCACTGATTGTTTCACAGTCTGCTTCAGCTCGGGACTTGATGTCACATTTGACAGGGGCGTCTGTGTAACATTCCGCTCATTCTGTTTCTCAGCGGGTGTTACTTGTGACTGCGCTGGTTGAGTGGTTATCACTTGTAGCTGTGTCTTGACAGATCCTGTATGCTTCTTACTTATGTGACGCATCAAGTTGTGCAGAGATCCAGCGGCATATGTGCAGTGCGGACATGGCTGGCACTGCGATATTGGCACCTTTCCCTTATCATGGTTCCGTTCGTGACGTTCCAAGTTATAAGCTCTATTCGTGGTGTAGGTACAGCCTCTTCTGCTGCAATGTAGATGATCTCGCGGATTGTTCATTTGGAGCAAATTCTTATAAATTTATTCTGCTTGCCATGTTTGTACCGTTTGTTGCCAACTATCGCTAACAAAATAAACAACATATCGATAAAGTTCCGTGACAAATTGAGTTTAATTTGCAGGATGTAAGAAGCGGCGTGAAGCAACAGATTAATATTCGCTTTTATAAAATTATGTTTAAAAAACATAAAAATACAGCTTGCAAATTAGAAAAAGGAACTACGTATAATAATTTGATTTCAATTTTTGTAATACCTAGTAAAAAATTTATTTTTATAGATAATATTATTGTTTATTGTTTTATTCACATTCCAGTTGGCTATCGAACTGATTCGATTATTCACTTGCCTGATGATCAAATGCGACAAGTGAAAATTACTGTTTTCAGTTTGAAGCGCACGCAAACCCCGCCTTCATTTATAATTGACCACTTAATTGCAACGTAGATATAATTACATACCTACGTGCAAAGTACATTTTCAGAAGTCAATCAATATAGTGAGTTTGGTAAGTGTCTCGTACTTTCGCTGCTGCTTGCTTAAACAATCAATGACAATGATGATAGTTCAAAGTTCTTACTTTTAGCAACCTACGAGTGCAGAGAATTCTGATAACAAACTATTCCTGCTAGCTAACGCATTGAATTTTTTTGACCTTGAAAAAAAAAAACGAAAAAATGGCCACTGAGCGCTTAGATGTGATCATATTCGGAGCTTCTGGCTTCACAGGTAAATACACGGTCTACGAGGCGGTATCCGTGCTAAAGGATTTGAAATGGGGCATAGCCGGACGCAATCGGGCGAAACTTCAGGAGGTGCTGAAGGAGATGGGCGCTAAGGCCAAAAAGGATCTGTCGCAGACGCCCATTTTTATTGCCGATGTCAACGATGAGGCCTCTTTGTTAAATATGGCCAAGTCCTGTCGCATCGTTGTCAATACCGCGGGTCCATACCGCTTCTTCGGTGAAAATGTGGTCCGTGCCTGCATCAACGCTGGCACCCATCACGTGGATGTTAGTGGCGAGCCGCAGTATATGGAAACCATGCAATTGAAGTACAACGAGCTGGCTAAGGAACGCGGCGTCTATGTGATCAGCGCTTGTGGCTTCGACTCCATACCCGCTGATATGGGCATTGTGTTTGTGGAGAAGAATTTCGATGGCGTCGTCAATTCTGTGGAGACGTTTTTGGTCAGTGGAATCAAGGACGAAAATAATGCATCTGACAGCAAGGCAGGGCTCAACACTGGCACCTGGCAGAGCGCTGTCTATGGGCTGGCCCACGCCGACGAACTGCGTGGCATACGGCAGAAACTTTATCCGGAACGTCTGCCCAAGTTCTTCCCCATTTTGAAGCATCGCCCGTTGATATTCCGTTCCAGAGAAATAAACAAAGTGTGTCTGCCGTTTCCAGGCTCGGATCGCTCGGTGGTGATGCGTTCACAGCGTTTCCTCTATGACACCGAGAAGAAACGTCCGGTACAAATGCACGCCTATATTGGATTCTCTTCATGGCTGGCAGCCATTTTCGTGGCTCTGTTTGCGACCATCTTTGCTCTGATGGCTAAATTTGAGTTCGGCCGCACCTTATTGCTCAAGTATCCGAGCTTCTTCTCTGGTGGTTTCGTCTCACCCGAAGGTCCCAGTGAGTCACGCATGGAACGTAGCTTCTTCAAGATGACCATGAAAGCGACAGGCTGGCCCAGCTCGCAGCGCCTGGCCGAAGGTACAGATCAGTACACGGAGCCTCCCACAAAAACTCTTATGGTCAGAGTTTCGGGTCCGAATCCTGGCTATGGCTCCACATGTGTTGCCCTGCTTTCCACAGCGGTTACCATTCTCCGGGAAAGCAACAAAATGCCAGGCAACGGCGGTGTACTTCCACCAGGTGCCGCATTTTCAAAGACCAGTCTAATTAGCGAGCTGGAGAAGCATGAGCATGGCATTAAATTTGAAATTTTAGCCAACAAATGAATGCACATTGAGTGAAATACTCGAAACATATGGTTTTAACTCTTAACACAATGTTACATTTTATTGTATATAACAATATTAACTGCAAATAAAAATAAAAAATTAATGGCGAATGGGAAATTAACATTAAATTGAAATAGTCTGCACACTATTTGAGTTATCGATAGTATCGATGAGTAACTGGAAAATGACTCGCCATTTGGCTAGGTGGTAACACTGTCGCTGTTTTTGTTTACTTGTTCGCTTGTAGAGCTCGTCGTCTTATTTCCATTCTGACCGTCAACACAAAAACTATAATTAAATCATGAGCGCCGAAATTTCGGGATTTCGACGCTTTTTACACTGGGGTCCAATAACCGCTCTGAGTAAGTATAACTAAACGTTGTAATTTGTATACAGTGAAATCGGGAAATAGATGCTTGGGTGTCGCCGAAGCCGTTGCTTATCAGACCCCAATCAGGATAATCACATTACCAGTTACAAATTAGTATGTGCGCAAAGTGAAGTGAATGAACTGCTTCAAAAGAGAACCAGCAATTGGCCAATAACAAGTGTAAAACGTTAAGCGCCACCCACGTCCACCCTGACAGCCACTTGGGCAAAAGAATTTGTGTGTGTTTTGTCTGCAGCGTAATATCGTGTTTCATATTTCGAGACGGTCAACGCAACGATGGCGCCAGTGCGCCACCCACCGCCCACAGACGGCCGCACATCGTTAAGTGAAGAACGCCTTACTTAAGGAGCGGCCAGTCATTTAATTCGCGTAAAACGCTGCGCTAATTGCATTTCAGTTGCCGCTTCAATGGAAATATCCCTTACAAGCTTTATAAAGAGTTCAGCCAGAAATTGCGTGTGATTTGACTATTTTGGCCATCTGGGCAGACGGTAATATGGCCATAAAGCATCCGGTTCACGGAAAGGGCAACCTTGATATTGAACTGCGATATAATTGTACATAGCTTAATTACTAAATTTCGCGTCGCTTGTTGCTGCTCCGAAGTTGGGGTGAATGTGGATGGATATGCCTATGAGGGAGGTCTGGCTCGTACACTTATGCCAACTCAGTTAAAATACAATTGCCACCCCTGTGTTAACGCTTAATCAAGTCGGGATATAAAAAAGGCAATGTATACAAATAAATGTATTTAATTTCCTTGGCACGCAAAGAACGAACTCAAGTGAATGTTTATATATTATATGTTTGTATGTATGTATGCATGTTTGTATGTTTATGCATTAAAATATGCAATTAGAAATCTCGTATTACCCGTAAATGCTTAACCATGCATAAGATATTTAATGTGACATTCCCCTGTCTCTCCCGATCCATTTCAGGCATCATTAAATGCGTAACTCTGACAACGCTCTACATGAACTCGATGTGGTGGCCACCAAATGAATCGTTTGCAGCGTTCGCCCATCAGGCCCTGTTCCTGCTGCTCTCCACGCTGGCCACATTCAATTACATCATGGCCACGCTGACAGGTCCGGGTCTGCTGCCCAAACAATGGCAGCCAAAGGTAACAGCAATACAAACGACAAGCCCTCGGAACCCCCTACTCCTGCCAACCCGGCGCTCCATTAGCCAGCCAAAACGGGGGACAAAACAAAAAGAAACGAACAATAAAACATTTTGTCATGACATTGGCATGCATGGAAAATGTTTGTCAACTATGGGTCGGTCGCATGTGCTCCACCATGCCAACAGTTAGGGCGTGCCAGCTGCAGGGGCTATTTAATATAATATACTAGAGTAGAACTGCTGTGTGGTGAGCAACTAGCAGGAAATGGCTCGCTTACTCTAATATATCATACTAATTTTCCTATAATTATATTAGACTCAAATATCAAACTAAAATCTATCATTTTGTGATTTAGCAGAACGAGATGCCTTATACAATGAAATTAATTGCTCATAACTGCTTTTGTCAACAGGTTAGCCTCTCCTTCCAGCTGATTGCTGATTTTGTAAACAGGAAGACTTCTGCTGCTAGTTGATATCTAGCTCATCCATGGATCTTTAAGTAAACAAAAAAACTTATCCTGCTAGTTGTTAGCTATCTATTCCATGGATCCCTCACAATAGCTTCTACATTCAGGAAAACTTCTAGTTTTAACTGATATCTAGTTACTCCATGGATCCTTTAAATCTCCTACTGTAATTAGTAAAACTTCTCCTGCTAGCTGCTGACATGGTCTCTCGCCTGGTCGGCCATTTGTGCCGCGTCACTTCAGTATCGGAAATAATTGTTTAGCACAACAAGAAACTCCGTGTCAGCCACTTGTTCGCATTTACTCCCTGGCCAGGCAATCTGTGGCCTGTCAGCTGCAATCGGTCGAGTCATTCATGTTTGAATGCCAGCACACGCATCGGTTGTGCTGCCAAACAAATGGGTCAGCTCAAGTTGACGGCATCGCGTGCTCAACCCTTTATCGCCAACTGCCGCGTAATGCAGCAATTAAACGCTGCAATTGGCTTCAAATACGTCGCTCAAAACTGGACGATAAGCCAAGCCGGCCAGACAAATGCTAAGACTGACTGCTGAGCGCTGATTGCGGACTGGTTGACTGCTGACCACCTGGCCGTTCACTGTTTTGGGGCGTTGGCAGTTTTTCGACACTAATAATTTAAGGGCCGTTGCGCCGCTTCAGCCCCCACTCTAATAATTTATGGCCTAACAGGCTCTCACGCAAACTGAAACGCAGCCGCTACGGAGTGGAGCTCGTAATGCAATTACCTAAATTTGCATAAATGTTTTGTAGACCAGACGCTGGCTGACGCTTGACCTGAGTTGGTTTACCCTAATGAGCTGTGCGCTTTGTGGGCGTTGCTGGCGTTATATGTGTATAATATATAATGTAGTTCTTTTTAATATCACGCATATTTTATATTTTAATTTCGCCAGGACCCCAAGGACACGGAATGGCTGCAGTACTGCAAGGAGTGTGAGGGCTACAAGGCGCCACGGTCGCATCACTGTCGCAAATGTGAGTGTAGTCGAATTTAAAACGAACTGCTAAATCGTTAATAATGCATATTCTTGCACAGGCAATCGATGCGTGAAGAAAATGGATCATCACTGTCCATGGATCAATCATTGTGTTGGCTGGGCCAACCACGCCTACTTCACCTACTTTCTGCTCTTCTCCATACTGGGCAGTCTGCACGGCTCGATAGTGCTCAGCTGTTCGTTTTATCGCGGCATCCACCGCTATTACTACCTGACCCACGGTCAGGCACACTTGGCCAGCGTACAGTTTACGGTGGCCAGCATTGTCATGTGCATTCTGGGCATGGGCCTGGCCATTGGCGTTGTCATTGGGCTGAGCATGCTGCTCTACATACAATTAAAGACAATTGTCACAAATCAGACGGGCATTGAGATTTGGATTGTGGAGAAGGCAATCTATCGACGGTACAAGTCCGAGAACTATGAGCCCTTTGTCTATCCATACGATTTGGGATGGCGGCTTAATCTGCGACAGGTGTTCAACGAGGAGTGCCAAAAGCGCGGCGACGGCATCGAATGGCCCGTCGTCCAAGGCTGCGATCAATACACGCTGACCGTGAGTGCTTAACCGAATTCACTCTCTTCAAGTCTATCTTTTTTAAACAATTTCCTCCACAGCGCGAGCAACTGGCACAAAAGGAGGAGAAACGCGCGCGGACACGCGTCTACAAATGCATAAGCCCGGTGACCGGCCGCTGGCTGCCGATCTTCTCACAAGGCTGGCGTGTCTGCGTCAATGCGCCCTGCACAGATGAGCCACGCATACGCCTGCGGCCCGACGACATCATAAAGGTGACGCGCTTCCGACGACACTGGCTGTTTGGCGAGCGTGTGCTCAGCGAGCAGGAGCAAGCAGCCGGCTCGGAGAAGAAGTCACAGCGGAAGGGCCCCATACGTGGCTGGTTCCCGCGTCGCAGTGTCGTTGCCCTCACCGAAGTACCAGACTCGGAGAGCAGCGAAGATACAAAACCTGTCAAATCAACTACTAGCAATGGACACACTCATGGCAAGCAACAGCAACGCAATGGCCACACCAAGAAGTACATGTAGTTCCCACAAGCAATTTCAATTGCAAAATGCGGATCGACTTGGGAATAGCAATAGAAAATCATTGGAATGACTCGAATTCGTCATGTAACTTCAGGTCTACATTGTTAGCTGTTTACATTGTTAGCTTAAAGCCAATAAATTAAAGATTATATATATTCCGCATGAGTTCCATAAGAAACAAAAACGTAATATAATGATTTATATGTATATAATGTAGATCATATATACATGTGAAATGCCATATAATTAGAATGTTGTTTTAAAATCACCGTAATCTTCAATTTCTGTCCGTGTCCTCTGTGCCTTTGTCCAAATAGATGACTTGAATGTCAATGATTGTCTTGAAGTTTACAATTTATGGAGCGCCTTATGATTCACTGGGCTCAGGGTATTATAATAATATGCATAAGGTAAGTGAAGTAAATTCGTACATTTATATAGTATATGATTATATTTTAATATGTATGTGTATAAAATATATAACATTTATTATTTATTCTTTGAAGACATGCAATTTAATTCCATATCTCTGTATGTATATATTATACATTCTTATTTGGATGCCATTGTCGCCTCGATTTCCTCCACAGTGCGTGGCACAATCGCAAAGTTCTCGGTGCCCGTCTTGGTGATCAGGACGTCATCCTCGATGCGCACCCCGCCAAAGTTGCGGAAACGTTCGAATACTTCCACATTGATGTATTTACGAATCTGCGGATCAGCAAGTGCTTTATCCATAAGTTGCTTGATGAAATAACAGCCGGGCTCAATGGTAACGTACATGCCCGCCTTAAGGATGCGGGCAAAGCGTAGCTTGCTCAGCCAGGCCTCGCTAGGACGTCTTGGCTCAGTGGGTAGATAGCCACCCACGTCGTGCACATCCAAGCCAATCAGGTGGCCCAAACCGTGCGGCTGGAATACACCCGATACACCGGCCTCAAGCATTTCATCCACATCGCCAGTAAGCATGCCACCGGCCTTAAGTTGTTCCAGCAGCACCTTGCCCGCTAGCTTGTGCATGTCCACCCATGAGACGCCGTCCCGTGCTGTCTCCATCACAGCGTTGCGTGCGGCTAGCACTGCATTATAGATAAATTTCTGATCCTCTGTAAATTTACCGTTTGCTGGAAAGCTGCACGTGATATCCGCAGCATAGCCACAGTAGTTAGCTCCCATGTCGAAGAGGCACATTTCGCCGTCCTGAATGGGACGATTATTGGGTGCACCGGCGTGTCCATAGTGCAATATGGCTGAATTGATGCCACTCCCGCAGATGCAGGTGTACGAAGCATGGCGGCAGCCGCCCACCGCATAGGCATGATGCAAGAACAGAGATTCACCCTCGTATTCCATTCGACCAGGACGAATGAATTGCATCACTTTGATGTGTGCATCTGAGGAGACCTTGGCCACATAGCGCAGAACTTCGATCTCTTCCTTCGACTTGATAACACGACACTCCGAGATTATGGGATAGAGCAGGTCACAGTTCGTCACGTATTTATCTTTGCCCGCAAACTCTGGCGGCTGCATCGTGAGGCCACTATCGCTGTTAGTGCCACTGAGCGTTAATATCAGCTTGGGTGTGGTCTTTTCCAGATAAGCTTCGAGCTCATCGACATAATATACCTCATCCACTTCGTACATGGCCTTGAATTCCTCGGGCTTGAGCAGCGCACCCATCCAGGTCTCGTACTCCTCGGGCAAACGTGGGACAAACAGAACCGACGTGGCTTGAGCTGTCTTAACATCGATGCTAACTATACCATAGCAGCCTGGTTCCTTAGCGCCAAACATGTACTGGAAGTAGGACTCCTGCCGGAAGACATAGTCCACATCGGTGTTGTATAGACTCTGATCTTTACCACCCTCGAGTAAAATTATTAATTGACCGGAGCTAAGCTTGAGGCTCTCCTGAGAATTATCTAGAATGGCCTTACAGACTTTGTTTCTATTATTTTTAAACAAAGTCATCGGCACCGCGTGACAGGATCCCATTTGAAAGCAAGCCATTGTTGAATGTTAAGATAATCACAGTCGGAGAGCAACTGGTGTGTTTTCTGATTAGCTAGCCAATATCTATAGCAAATACTTTACTGCAGCAATAAATAAGAGCTTTATTATCGCTGTTTTATTTGTATTGTTACTTTTTGCTTGGCTGTGTATTGGGAGTGCAGTAATCCCCACAGCAACGAGAAGTGTATGTATGTTTTTGTTTTGTAAGTCTTTCGGTTAATGGAACTAGTTACATCTACTTGTATTTCTGTTTACTTTTGATTAAGCATTGTTTACTTCCACTGTTAACTTAACAGTTTGCAATAATGTTGTGCTCAGTATGGTGATAAAACATTCATTTCAATTTATCAGTGTTGCATTATGCTTACATTCGCAAAGAAACTGATTCAAAAATACAAGTTTGTGAAACTTAAAGCTTTAAGTATTATTTTTAATTAAATCAAAAAATAGTTTAGCATAAATAGTTTAGTAGATAACAAAGTAAGAGCATGATAGCATCGATAGACATGCAATCGATATTGTTGTAAAAGAGATAGAAAGAGATCATAATTAAGCTGTTGACCTCTCTCAGTATATCGATATTTAATAAGTAAATGCCACAAATACTATGAAGTATAAATTTATAGAACTTCGACCAATTGGTATAATTAATATATATGGTATAAAATTAATTGACTATTGACTGTTTAAGAAGTACTAATATTAATTGAGTTTTATTATTGAAACAGCAAAACAACAATTCTAGCTAAAACTGGTTCATGTTCACACTGTGATAAAACTAACGCATCGCTCTTGGTCTCAGCTGGGCACACTGCATTCTTTCATCAAAGTAAATTTTTTTGCAAATTCTATTTTCATATTTTTTGAATAAAGCATTTTTAAAGTGAAATAGAGCGATTTTTTATTGTTGGTGTGAAGCAGACAAATTCACTTGAGTCAAACTCTATTTTTAGGTATTTGTAACTGAATTGGTCTCCGCAAAAAGTCCCGCTAGTTCCAATGTCGGCGTCACAACGCGACCGCGGCATGAGCAAACACAATAATTTCAACGCTCACAAGTAGAAGTAGAGCACGCAAAACTATTGAGGGAAAACGGGTCGAATCTGGACTCAATGTACGGTAGCTGATCCATGAGGCATCGTTACTGTCATGTCTAGCTCGGTATTTAGCGAAACGCCCAGTGCCCGACCGAATGGCGCCGATGGAGATTCCAATCTGGTTGTGGTATATGCCAAAAATGGCATCTCATTTGACGAGCGTGCCATTGAAAATATTATGGGTAAGGCAATTTGAAATGTCAATTTCGAGCGTACATGTTGAAAAATATTTGAATTTCAGAGGAAAAATCAATTGCGAGTATTAGTGTCGTCCGGCTTACATCACCGACGCCAAGCATGGTCGATCAAGAGGAAACCGAACGCCTGGAGGAACTGGAGCGTTTTATGCAAATGACATCAGATGGCGAAGACTCCGATAAAGAGACAGACAATGATAGCAGCCAAAGCGGCTGTGAAGAGCTGATAAGCGAGAAAGATCATGTTACCGGCGATGACAATGACAACACCGGTGGCGAAAACAATGGCGACTCCACGGAAACCGAAGCCGAGGTGCCCAAGGTTAAGAAGCGCCCCGGTCGCAAACCCAAACCGCCAAAAAAACAGAAAAAGCGCCGAAAACCTAAGGAACGCCCACAAATTGTTGGGCTGAGTGTGGAACAATTCTACGCAGAAAACACAGCCGATGTGGTGGTAAAAAATGCTCTGAGTATGTATATGAACATTAAATTATTTGAAGAACAGATGAATATGTGTAATATTTGCAGAACTGGCTGGATTATCGATATTCAAACGCACACCCGAATCGGATGCTCTGATGGAGATTATTCGGAACGATCATAACTACACTCCGTTCACCTCGCCTGAGCAAATGAAGGCGAAAAAGATGGCAGAAAAGGTGGTTATAGAACGGCAAGGACGTAAATTCATTGTGCAGACCCAGCCGAACATTAGGCTATTAAATGCCAAGAAGCGACTCCAAGCAGTGCCTGTGAACCATGTACCAGCTGCAACGCAACAACCACCCAGGCATCAACAGCAACTACCTAAGCAACAACAACCGCAGCAACAACAGCAAAGGCAAACGCAGCCGTTGCCCAAGCAACCAACGAATTTGCACAGGCAGCAGTTACCTAATCAACTACAGCCATCCTCAGCAGCATCGTCGAAACAACAGCAGATAATGTTGACAACGGGCCCACGAATTGTTCGGAATAGTGCTAAAATGATAAGGCCGTCCGACGACTTCGTCGAGGATGATGAAGACGCAAATAGCTCTGCCACAGCAGATGAGGAGAATGCTGACACTGAGGAGCTCAGTGAGCCAAGTGATGCGTCCCGCGAAACGGACAACGATAGAGATAGTGATATTGATTTCAAAATGAACAACAGCCGTAGCTCGAACAAACGCAAACGTCTTAAAAAGTTCTCTAGACGACGGTCTAATACGCAATCTGCGCGTGCACAGACACTAAATTCACCGAAGGGGCCTCATCAACAGCAACCAACACAGTCACAGTTTCCATATTTGAAACGGCGAAAGGAGCCTACCGATGGCAATTCGAGCGCACCTGCAATTGGCCAGATTGTTCAGCTAAATACAAAAGCGCCACCCTCAGTGATTCCATTGGGTCGCAAGGTGTTTAGCACATCCTTTCTCAAAATGCGCCCCATACATAAATCCCTACCCAAACCAACGTCGATATCTCCTGAGGTAAATAGAATAAGTGGCTCTGCAGTTCCTGCAAAGCTGCGTAGAACGCCAATTGTGCAGGTGGGGCGTGTGGTAAGTGTACCACCAGGTGGATTTGCAACGCCGCCACAAGAGGTCAAAGAGATTGTTATCAATAAGAATCTGTCGAGCCCCAAAGGTGTGTTTACAAATCTGAACAGCTTACTGGCTGATAATAACAATGCGACAACGATGACATCAACATCGGATAACAGTAAACAGCCCCTAGTAAATACACCCATCACTCCCAAGTCCAGTCTAAACTCGCTTACAACATTGGCATCCACATCGACATCGGCCGCGACCTCGCCATCCTGCAAGGGCTTCATGCCCATTGGCGTGGAGACGGCCTCCTCCCACAAATTACCTGCCCAGATTGTCATCGAAACACATCAGAGCTCCTCAGAGCTGGCAGCCGAGAATGATAAACAACTTGATCTCATTGACTCCATTGTTCAGGATGAATTGTCGAAGTCATCATTGATCGAGAAACCGCCAGCTACAGCAGATGAGACCATACCCAAACTGGTGAAAATGCTAGAGAGCAGCGCTGCAGGCCTCAATCAAGTACCCGAACCAGTGATAAATCCTGTCAGTGCTCCACAACAACAGCAGAATTTTGATGCGACCCTGGTAGCAAATACTGCTGTGGATAACATGGACATAGCCAGCGCACCATTGCTAGAAACAGCAGACGAGGATGAAATCACTGCAGATTTCCTGCAACATGTGGTTGGACTCATAGAAGAGGACAAACAGTTCGAAGCTGAGGTAGTCAAACATGTGCTAGCCACCACAGAGACGGGTAGCCTAGATGCACTTGCAAATGCCGTGGCGCAGCCAATCTTCGATGTTGGCAACCAGTTACCGACAGTGTCTCAAGTAAGCTATAAATATGAACTGACAATGATGATACGCTAATATTTGAACCTTTGCAGCCATTGCCCAATGATTTTGCTGATCAATGTTTGCTCAATTTGCCCATGGCATCCAGCACTCCATCGCGTACAACGGGCAACTCAACCTTAACCACCTCACGGCCACCTGAGACGAAAGTTGTACGCGGCAATGGGCGTGTCATTTATCTGCCACCAATTGAAGCGCCTACAACCCGGGCCAAGCGTCGAGCTCAGAACTTTCCTGCGACAGCCACAACCTTGTCAGATATTAGCACCACTTCGCTTACAGAACCAACTGTTGATACGAGCCAATTAACCAGCAGTAGCTTGGATAGTGACAGCGTTTCGTCGTCATTTGCCGGGCCAGACAGGAAACTTTTGACCAGAGATCCGAGTGGTACTGTTAGGAGGCCAAGAAGATCAAACAAGCTGAATAACAGTAACGAAGCCAATGATCCGGAAGCCTCAGAATCTCAAGAGGACGATGATGATCCCAACAAGTTAGTTATTAGATTTTTGGTTTTTATACAAATTATTAAACTTACTTGTCTTAGGCTATGGTGTATCTGTCGGCAACCGCATAACAACCGATTCATGATATGCTGTGATCTGTGCGAGGATTGGTATCATGGCACGTGTGTTAGCGTCACAAAGGCCATGGGTCTGGAAATGGAACAAAAGGGTATTGACTGGAAGTGCCCCAAATGCGTTAAAAAGCAGGAGGAGAAGGTAACAAATAATTAATGGATAATGTATATATAGATTTAGGTATTCATATTCTATTTCATAACTTTGCAGAGTCAGCCTCGTATTACAGACATATGGGTACCCAAACCAAGCCAGAACACATCGGAGCTTCCGACATCAACTAAACAGCCAAGCGAAAGCAAATCAATTGTCGAGCAACCGACGGTAACGCCCAAGCGAAACCCGCCCGTTGGTGCATCATTGACGACATCGTCACCCTCAACCCCAAGTAACCCACTTGTAAGGCAACAGAAACGACCGTTGCCCCAAAAGCCGCAGCTGAAAATGCACCAGCAGCAGCTGAATTTTATCAAACTTGGGGCCAGTAGCGTCATCACACCAACAGAGGCAAGCTGCGTGGTATGCAAGCGTCCAGCACGCGCCAATTCGGTTTATTGTAGTGACGAATGCATACGAAAGTATGCACACAACGCAGTCCAGGCCCAAACGGTGCCCAAGACGCCTGAGCCAGTGCTGCAAACAGCTTTGCCACCTTCACAGCTGGAAAGTGCGCTTGAAGCCAAAAAGAACAAGAAGAAAGATCTGTTTGAGGATGTGCTGCGTCAGGCGGACTCCTTGTCGAAGGTTGAGCGGGTATGTACAACAAGTTAGTAAATTATGTAATAATTGCTATTGTGGATTACTTTTACTAGATTAATGTGTTTGAGCGTCGAAGCGGACGTGCCATCACGGGACACTTGGCGCCTAGTGCACATCAATTAAAGAAATGG